GTGCAGAGACTACCCTAGAGGACTGAGTCCCAAAAGCTAAGGTCTGGGCCAAAGGTCACAGTAGACTGGCCCAACAGTAGGCAAGTGTGGCTACTCTGGCACACCTGTGTACAAAGCCATAGGTGTTAGTTTTCCACAGCATTTACCACCAATGACACCATGACAATGCTGAGGTAGTTGGGGGGGGGGAGAGAAGAGTGGACCTGGCTAAAAAGTGTTGAAGCCCCTTGAAGTAAATGTTTTGCTCTGTTTAGTCACAAAAAATGAAGAGCAGACATATGGAGGACCATGCATATGTTACCTACTGTAAATGAAACTATGTGTATCAATTCATTTTCATTAAATTTTTTAACCTGACTTTCCATCCAACAGTTGATTCTCAAACACAATTAAAAGACAAGACAAATCATACTTTAGGATGGAGTTTTAAGATGGATCTTAAATCCTGAGCATTTCACAGAATGAGAGACTTTTAAGTCCAAGAAACAAAATGCTTTTTTGGTTTTAGCAAACATGGCTTAAGGAAAGACGACCAGAGCTGCATAACACTGACATTTTTATTAGAATTCATTTGTAACAAATGGAACTTGTGTCAGCAAAGAACTGATTTTCATACAGACTTTCTTTCGCCACCAATGTAACGAAGTAAGAAAATAAAAAGCACGCCTTTCATTCTGTAAAACATTTACGCGTACTACTAATCAGAGGTAATTGTATTTTTTAACAAGCCATTTTACAAGGTGTTTTTTTTTAATTTTTCAGTCTAGGCATCCAAAACAAGAGCAAAGAACACAACTGGTATTATCTTTGTAAAGACACTCCAAGCTTGAATGGCAAAGCCACGTAACAGATGGATGATGGGACCTGCAGCCTTCTGATATTCTAGTGGAGTATCAGGGCGTTCAAAAGAAAGAGATTAAAACTGTAAAAGGGTGGGGGGAGAAGGGGAGGAAAACCTGCATTTTGTTGTTGCCCCTGCAAACTCCCCCCTCCCTTTAACATGTTATGTGTTATTTACATACACACAAGTGGATTTTCATAAGCAGTTTTCTTACAGATGGGTTCAAGTAATAATACTATTGGGTGTAGAATCAATAGGGCAGTGCATAGTAGAAAGGTATAGAAAGTGCAATTCTCCCTAGAGGACCCCTTCCCTTCCCCCAACCATCCTTGCCAATGTCTAACCATGCAAACCATTTTTTTTAAAAAAGAGCTAAAATAAAAGTTCTGTACAAATAATTTTTATATATTTTGCGTATTTCTCCATTGTTAACTAATTACAAAATTATACATAACTACACATACATAGGTAAATAATAGCACCGTACTGGTTATGCTGATGAAACCAAATCCCAAGCTTGGTAAATGGCCGATAATGAGACCAATTAATTCAAAAAATTGAGAAAGAGAATCGCTACACAAAAAAGTTACAGAAAATGGAATGCACATCAATGATTCTGACAGAGTTCCCTTTACAAGTAACTCCCGAATAGCAGTTTTGACGGGAACATGTATGAATGTTATACTTTTTGTTTCCTCCTGTGAAGCACTCACTTTCAATGACAGTTTGCCTAATACTTTTCTTTTACAAACCAAAAACATTGTGGCAGAATGGAAGGCCTGATCTACTAATTGCCCTCAGGAGCAACAGGCCTTCCTGGAGCATGTCCACACAGGGTTTCTAGAGGTATCAGCCATGCACATATGATCTCTACAAGCCACATGGGTTCCATGCACGGCCTGCACTGAACCCCTGATATCACCTGCACTGCAGGTTTCCTCAGAGCAAAGCCACACAAAACCTCCATGTGAAACAGTGCCTCCCTTTGGAGGGGGATATTGCTTTCTGCGCTTCCAATTTTGCACTTAATCACCAAACTGAGAACACAGAAAAATCCTGTGCAGACGTGCCTTTCGTCTGTGCTTCTAAAGCATAGCATTTTTTCAATCATGAGTGTCTGTTGACTGTACTTTTGGCTAAAAGCACAAGTTCATTGCATTATCTGGCACTTTCTGTATTCTTTGACAGAAATAAAAAGAAAACATATAGTGCACATTCTTCTCTGATTCTGATGTAAATTAGAGAATCTCATTCTGAGGTAGCCTTCTATAATACTTTATTATTATAATAATAATACACATATACTTTTAATATTTTCCCATTTTTGCGCTTTTTAAAGTTTTTTGTCTTTGTTTTTTATAAAAGTGCTCAAATAGAATGATTTCTAGTGTTTGGTCTTTTAATATATCTATTTCTGGTAGTGATGAATATAACATGGGGAAAAAAAATCCTGAATCAAGATATTTGTGTTTGACATAATAACAGGTTTAACCAAGAGAAAAATGGCTTCCTTTAAAGTGTCTCAAATGATACCTTGTGTTGACCATCAGAAAAAAGATATAATGTGATCTATGCCCTGTGTTCATTTACTCAGCTTCACTGACCTAAAGAGGCCTCAAAGGACAAGAAAGATGAACACACCTTGGCCTCAAATGAAATACAGGTTTAGAATTAAGAACCACTTTAATGGCTGCTCCTCTTGGCAGTAGGAGAGCCATCCCCTTCTTCCACAATGGCAATGCTAGATCCTAGTCACCAACATAATGGTTACAAATGCCGGTTTGGAAGGGGCCATGCACTAGTAGTAGTTTGGACCATTGCTAGGAGTTCTGGCTGGATAAAGGGCCTCTGAAAGCCTAATGGCTTTGGATGAATATTCACATTTAACACTTGGGTAAAGACCAGGAATGCATATTGTTAAAAGACCTCTTTGTACATCTACGGAAAAGATAATGCTTTAATTGAAAGAGGAGGGGAGAGTGTAACAGAGAAGTATGAGTTAACTTACACAAATACAGACAGAACAAAACTTGAAGAAATGCTATCAAAACAGGCATCAAATATAAGGCACTCTAAATGCAAAAAATTAAAATTAAAAAACCTCAGCATTTCCAACAAATGCTGTATGCCACAAAACATTTCTGATTTAACAGAGCAACATGAGTTTGGCTTTGCCCCATTATACATCATCAATGCAAATTTCTTACTGTATACTATAGACAATTACACGAGTGAATACATTTTTAAAACAGCTTGACAAGTATTATATTACAACATTCTCCCCTCCTAAGGGGATATGCACTGACCTTTCCCACATGCACACTTCCTATATTTAGTATGGTCTGTTATTGCACTAAGGTGTTACAAATACCAAACTTTACTGGAAGCTTTAACATTATAAATGTGAGTGTGTGTGAGTGTGTGCGCACGCATGGACACACATGATTTTTGTCCTTTACTTTTGGGAAGGACTGAGATTCAAGTATCACTGATGTGCATTCCACATTTCCCCTAGGAAAAGGAAAAGAAAAAGAAAACCTTGAAATGCAAAAATGTTCAGAAATATTGTTTGGACTCAGTGTAGCATTTTGGATTTTATCCCACAGCTCCAATAAATCCAAGTCATGGAAGAACCGATACGTGTGTGTGTGTGTATACATATATTTATTTATAATTGTGTGCATTTCTGTCTATCTATCTACGTGTATTGCTGTAAATAGATAGAGAGACAATCAAAGAGATATACATATATTTATAGATAGAAAGAGAAAGGTGTGTGTTTTTGTGTATTAGTAGCAGCTTTATACTTTGCGCTTCCCTGTTGATTCCAAAAGAAACTAAAACAAAGCCTTCCATATGTAGATTAACTAATTGATATTTCATTTAAAAAAATCAAAATCAAAATGCAAAAGTAATACCTACATGAGGATGTGGTCCTGGAGATAAATATAGGGCTGCACAAAAATGTGCAATTTTTCAAATTATTTAACATTTCTACAGCGAGATATTACAAATAACAGTTCTACAGCATAAAAAAACTACAATTTTGAAACAAAAAAATGAACAGTTATGCAACTTTTTAAAATCACTTCATTGAATGATAAACTTTTGTTCTTAAAAAAAAGAAAAGAGTTTACACAGTTAAAAATGAAGCACAGGTCAGCAGTATCTTTACAATACTAAAAAACTAAATCAAGGACTTTCTTTTTAAACATTTGCCCTTCTCCCTCCCCCCCACCCCAAGTGTTGTTTATGAGCAATATGGTGAGAAGGGGAGATGTTGAAGCAAAGAGTCCATTTTCTTTCTTCCAGAGGAGCCAGGTACTGGCTTTTTGATGAGCATCTTGCCCTGAATTGCAGTCCTTCCAAAGTTAGCACTGTTAACAATCATGCAATCCTGAACAAGATGATGGTTCTTTGCAGGAATTTCCTCTTCCCTTTAATTTCAACCAAAGCTGAATCCTTGAGGTATCTGTAAAATGTAATCCTTCAGATGCCTCAACCAGTCAGGATTCTTCTATGTTTCTGGTTAGATTTATTGAACTGTGAATTGTTGGTCCACCTGGAATAGTTTTTTTTTTAATATTTCCCACTAATTGGTCTTTAGTTAGGAGTAAAGAAGTACTTCTCAAGCACACTGTATGGCTCAGAAGAGGCTCTCTGGATCTTAAAGGGCCTGCAGTTAAAAATCCAGGATGGGTCAGGGTTTTTTCTTTGTTTTGTTTACGTTGCATAGTGATCAAAGCTGCCCAGGTATTCTAGTGCGGCTCGATAGCAGAACTGGTATTGATCCTTCAAAAAAGAGAGAAAGAGAGATTAAAATTAAACTAGTTGTTGCATATTCTGCCTATGGAGTTCGTGCAGACAGAGCATTACCACCAGCCTTGTAACCCTGATTAAGTGAACAAGGAGTGGCCACAGGCTTCTGAGCTCTTTCCTCATGCCCTCTAGCATGATCTCCCTGTTCCATGATCCTGTTGCGCTTAGCCAGTTTGGTGTAGTGGTTAGGAGCACGGACTCCAATCGGGGAGAGCTGGGTTTGATTCCCCACTCCACCACATGCAGCAAGTTCTCTCAGAGCTGTTCTCACCAGTGCAGTTCTTGAGAGAGCTCTCTCAACCCCATCTACCTTAAAGGATGTCTGTTGTGGGGAGGGGAAGGGAAAGGAGATTGTAAGCTGCTCTGAGACTCCAAGTGAAGGGCGGGGTATAAATCAAATCTCTTCTTCTGCTTTAACACCCGAATCAACACTAACTGCTGTTCCCATTTTAACCAGGATTTGTCGCTGTATGTACACAGAGTGGTGAGTTGTGACAAATCCTGGACTCTGCATCTTGCATTTTTAGACTAATATTTGCAGGTATGGATGTACATGTGTGAGTGAACGGTATACATGGCATTTTAACATGTAAACATAAAATCAGTCTTTGCTTTAGCTCATTTTCTAGTTGGAACTTATTTGTGTGTATGTAGAGGGTTAGAACCTGTGAAGGATTTCTTCAAACAGTCCGTTGATTCCCCTCTCCATTGCAGACCCTTGACTCCCCACTGATGCAGTTGCTGGTGGTCCCCTGTCTCTGAGGAGAAGCATTTTAGGAGGCTATTTGAGCTGCAGAAGGAAGGGGGAGATCTCTGCTGATGGAAATCCCTTCCATCAGTAGAAATGTGCCACAGTACCCAAGCCACAGTGAGAATATGTATGAACTGAGACAAGGTGTTTTTTTGTGTGTGTTAAGATGAACAGCTGGGGTTGCTCTGTAGAGATTCTGATAGGTAAGACATTTCATGTAGAAAAGCTACAGACATTGACACAGAAAAATAAATAAATATAATGCTAGATTAGTTTTCAGGGGCTAATGGGCTATAAAGGAGATTCCCCCCCCCCTTGCTTAGACCATCTCTACACAATGCAGATAATGAAAAATAAATGGAGTTTACTCTTCAGTTTTGCCACGGTGAGTAACCAGGTTCTGTGGTAAGATACTTTTAATGATCTAATCGTATTTGGAGGGACGTTTGTTTTTAAAATTGCTTCCTGCACAATCTCAGCAACAGTGTACAGTGGTTTATTTTTAAATATGAGTGTAATACACAAAAATCAAGGTAGAAAATTTCAGTAGACAGCATAAAAACCCATCGCACACATTACCAATATTTATTGACATTGCGATAATGTTGAAGGAAGTGAAAAGAATATGATGCATGTTTGTTTAATGGTGCTTATAGTAAAAAAAGTCCAAAGAATTAGCATCAATTAACTGGGTTTTAGGTTGGGATCAGGACCTTGCAGTCAAAGTTCTGACTGGTAAGTCCTAATAATTTAAAAGTCTATCAACTCAGGCTCCTCTGTGTATTCTGTAAATCACCTCCCCCTTTATTTGTGGCAAGAAAATGGATGTCATGTTTTTCTTGCATGGAGATTGTCACTGAGGAGAATGCATATATGTTCTGAACATTTGCTGTTGCATCCAACCTGTTCCACTAGCTGCAACACTGCAGATCGCCTCTTATCCCTTGTCAGCACCAGGGGAAAGGGAGGGCTCCTTTTGCTCCCATTTCTTATTGGCCATGCTGTCTATGCTCTTTTTTCCCTTGTAGCCATATGCTCTGCTAAGTTCCCTGTTTCTTAGGAGTGAATAAATGCTTCACAGTGGGGAAGGGTGGCCAAAAGAAGGGAGCTCTTTATCAGTCATGGAGTGAAAAGGTGATCCGGTGCAAGGAACTGGATGGCAAGATTTATGGAGATGACGTCCTAAGCCCCAGAGCATGTATGGAATACACATGGAATTCACTGCCACAGGAGGTGGCGGCGGCTACAAGCATGGATGGCTTCAAGAGGGAATTGGATAAACATACAGAGCAGACGTCCATCAGTGTCTATTAGCCACAAGGTATAGATAGGAACTCTCAGTCTGGGGCAAGTGATGTTCTGTATTCTTGGTGCTTGGGGGGACAACAGTGGGAGGGCTTCTAGTGTCGTGGCCCCACTGGTAAACCTCCTGATGGCACCTGGTATTTTTAGCCACTGAGTGACAGAGCATTGGACTGGATGGGCCATTGGCCTGATCCAACATTGGCTTCTCTTATGTTCTTATGGGGGGGGGGCATGTCTTGCTGCTCCCTATAGGCACAAATTTACAGGGAACATCTGTGCCACACAGCATACATGAAGACAGATATGCATTCTCCTCTGTGAGAATCTCCATGCAAACAACAAGAACAACATGATATCCATTTTCTTACTACAAATGAAAGGGGGGAAATCTGTTAAAGTTTGCTACAAATGCCGCAGTGATATGTTTTGGATTCAGAATAATGGTTGTATTAGTGTCACCCTCAAAAGACAAGCAATGCCAGCTATTCAACATACGTACACCAATGTCTTGTGTGTAAATGAAAATCACACAGAAATAGAGAGCAGAGGGTTCAAGTCTGTCACTAGCTTTTTAGTGCCAGGGCTGAAGTCTTAGAACATTTGTACACTGTGCTTCTGAACATGTGTACAATTAACTCCCTCACCAATAAACTGCTACTATTCATACACTAACCCTGCCCCCCCAATTATAGGTATGGTACAATATTATGAGTTCCATGTAGCCTGAACACCTCTCTTTTTATGAATTAAAAATTGCCTCCCCCTTCTTTTCCAGCATATTGCACTGTCGGGGGGGGGGGACGGACGGACGGATGGACGACTACTAATCTTTACAGGACTCTGCTCCTCTACCTAGCAATTCCTAGCAATTCTCCTTACATCCTTTCTTCACAACTGCCCAGCTCCAACCCACTGCCCTGGAAAGCTCTTGTTCTTCTCAAAGCTACACTTGCACCAGTGGTCAGTTGAGGATAGTTTCCACTACCATAGGTGAACCCAGAGAACAAACCCTCTCCTTTGTCTTCCACAAAAGAAACACAGTCAATCCCCCTCCCCCACTTTCTAAGACCTGCACTAAATGGACAGACGTCTGAGGAAAGGCAGGATTTGGTGGTTAAGAAATGTGGTTGTATCCCTTTCTTTCTCAGTAGATAAGATAGATTATGGATCACAAGGGAGACTACCAAATTCATTTCTACCGCACCTATACTTCATCAGAATGCTCCACCACCACAAACACAATATAAGATAAGGGACAGTTGAAGGAACCATTGGTACAAAAGTACCAATCACAAAGAGGGTCAGAAAATATGATTTTGATAATTTGTTGATATTCCACATATTCTATACGCATGGATGTTATTTTTCTCACCTCCGTCTGTACCATGGCTGGCCGTTGTGTCCTTAACATTTTGACTGTCTGGAAGATATCTACAACACCTTCATATCTCATTCTTTCCAACACGATGCTCAAGGTTATGAACACGCCAGTTCTTCCAACACCCGCACTGTTGCAGTACAGAAAAGAAAAAAAAGAAAATATTGACCAGATATACCTTTATTGGCATCATAACAAAACATAGATCATCAAGCACCTTCATTGCTGGAGTTGAAACATTCCTCTCCAAATAAAGAATATGGATGTACGTTGTGCTGTAGGTATGCTGTGCTACACATTACATGTCTTGGATTTTCATTTTTTTTAAATGAAAACTCTAAATATAAAGGGATCATTATGTGATAAAGTCAAATGGATTTGACAGTGAAATAAGTCAGGAATTATTTGAAAGGAATACTATTTTTCACCAATTATAGAACAGCTAGTTTGTGATAATGAGACTAGGGCCCTCATTCCTAACTAGGGATGGGCACAAACTGGGAAAATAAAGTTTGGTTCATGACATGCCCGGTTTGGGAACCACGAACCATAATGAACATTTAGCCTCCAAACAAACTGGTTCAGTTTGTGAAGTGCTAGAATGGACCCCCAGTGTGCTAAAGACACCAAACTCAAAGAGGATTTCCAGTTGACTGTCCTCTACCTGCCCCCCCGCCCCCAGTTTGGTCCAAGTTACAGCCTCCCAAAGAAAGTGCCCCCAGGAAAGTGCTTTCTGGGAAAATGACAGGTGGTCATTTCCTCCAGAAAGCATGTTCCTGTGGGCACCTTCTTTGGGAAGCCATGACTCGAGCCCCATAAATCCAATCCTCACTAAACTTGGAGGGCAGGTAGAGGACAGTCAACTGGAGATCCCCTAAAAATTCTGTGTCTCTAGTTTGCACAGGATCTAGTTCTATACACTCCTGAACCCCCTGAACCTCTGTCTGTCAAAATGAATGCTTGTCACTGACAAGCGGTCATTTTGACAGGCGCAGATTCAGGAGGTTCAGGAGTATATAGAATGGATCCTGTGACGAAAGGTTAAAGTGATTAGGGTTCTTTAGCTTGGAGAAACGACGACTGCGGGGTGACATGATTGAGGTTTATAAGAATATGCATGGGATAGAGCAGGTAGAGAAAGAGGTACTTTTCTCCCTTTCTCCCAATACAAGAACTCATGGGCCCTCAATGAAATTGCTGAGCAGTCGGGTTAGAATGGATAAAAGGAAGTCCTTCTTCACCCAAAGAGTGAATAACACATAGAGTTCACTGTCACAGGAGGTGGCGGCGGCTACAAGCATGGACAGCTTCAAGAGGGGACTGGATAAACATATGGAGCAGAGGTCCATCAGTGGCTATTATCCACAAGGTATAGATAGGAACTCACAGGCTGGGGCAGGGGATGCACTGTATTCTTGGTGCTTGGGGGGGGGAGGCAACAGTGGGAGGGCTTCTAGTGTCCTGGCCCCACTGCTGGACCTCCTGATGGCACTGGTATTTTTGGCCACTGTGTGACAGAGTGTTGGACTAGATGGGCCATTGGCCTGATCCAACATTGGCTTCTCTTATGTTCTTAACATGCTAGAGCTGTACCAAAATGAAAATTAAAAATGAACAAAACCAAAAATCTCTCTCTGTCACCCATAACTCAGAAACCTTGGATTATTATTTGTCTGAGACAGAAGAGGTTGATTCAGACACAACACAAAACCACAGTTTTACCTCTAACCATTGTTAAACCTGGTTCGTGAAACCAGGAATTGCTCACAAATGATCACTGAATCCTGGCTTGTCTTGCCATTTACCTGTTCTACACAGGTCAACATCTGAATTTATGTGCACAGTGTGTGTACACTAGAAAACAATGGCCTGGAAGGAAACACATGATATTGTACAAACACATGCAGAATGGTTGGAGCACCGGCTCAGAACTCTTTTAAAGAGACATTGGCCTGCATGGATCCCAGCATGCTCTTTACATTGGCTGTCAGTAATCTTACAACCACTATGAATCAAAGGTTAGTATTATTATTGCCCCTGCGTTGTTAATGGGAGGCTGAGAGAATAATGCCTTGCCTAAGGGCACCTTCTGATTACTTTCTGGTTCAGTGCCACTCACACAGAGACTGTAATTTGCATTCTTCACTAATTTACCTTGTTGTCAAATCATTCCATCCATACCTCTACTTCAGCACTCAGACGTTACCACATTTTTTTTGCTGTTGTTTCAAACGGGCTTATGGTGGAGGATAAGCAATGCAGCCATACCTGGATTTCTTTTACTTTTACTTACCTACAGTGAACAGAGATTGGCCCATCTTGCCCAAACTGCTCTTTCGTTTTATGAACTTGGCCTATGAAATCAATGAACCCTTCTCCTGACTTTGGCACTCCTTGTTCAGGCCAGTCGGTGAACTGGAATTGCCTCACTGTTCGGGACTGGCCATCCTTTAATAAAAGGCACAGATATAGCACATGAAAGTCAGCAGGGCAGAAAACAATATTCAGGGTGGGGGAGAGATAGACCAGCAAGAAACATAATGTGCAACAAGCAAAAAATTGTGAAGATGGCGGTCGCTAAGACACTTCCAGCCACAATGCTGACGAGCCTGTGTTTCCCTCCTTGTTTTGCAGTTAGCAAAACCACATTGACATAAGAGTGCAATTTCATTAACCACAGTGATGCTCAAATTACTCCCAGCACTGGAGAGGATGTTGTCTGACATTTAGATCCTGGAAAAACAGACTCTAAGGACAAGGAAATTGTGAGCTAGTTAAATGGGACTTTTTTTTTTTTTTGCTCAAGGTTAATGTTTGTGCAAGACAATGGCTTGGCAGGCAACAAAATCAAAACCCTCTTTTAAAACCACCAACATTTCCCACTTGGCCAGAAGAAGTTTCAAAGTTCTTCACATTGCCTTTCAACTATGACCTTCTTATTTGGCAAAGCCATCTCTAGGGGCATATCTTCACTCAAGGGCAGTTCCCAGTGTCTGGAATATGCTTATTCAGGGCTTCCCATCCCAGTTGTCCCTCTGGCACATAGCTAATGGGAATGATACTGGAGCCAACTTAAATCCTAGTGTCTGTATATCCCAAAACATGTGGTCAGTGGAAGTTGTAGTGTGTGTCGCAGTGTATCTTCATACTCATAAAATACTGTATTTAGTGCTAGGTCACAAAAGGAGAAGAAATTCCTGATCATACAGTTGTAGGTAATGATCGCTTGTATTATTTTAATTAGCTTCTCAAGTCCACAGAACATATTCCTTTGCATGTAAAGCTAATCATTTGTGGCACATTGATAGCGGGTGTGTGTGTATGGGGAGAGGAAGACAATCATGAGTTGGATAGATCCAGTGAAGTGCCAGTGAAAGGCATTTGCTGATACCTATTGTTCCTTCTTTCCCCCTTCCCCAGCAATCAAGCCTTCTGAAATCTCTGAGAAGGGATAAACAGGTGAGATTGACTCCACCTTGCTGTTGTGCTAGAGGTGCCCCTTGTGCCAAAGGAGGCTTGGATGGCAGGGGAAAAAAGGCATCTGGCTTTTTATCCACATGGGACTTGTGACCTCCAGCATTGGCTTTTCAGAGGGCTTGGTAGGTTGCTGGTTGAAAGCAGGAAACATCTGCCTTTGGAAGCACCTTTGCATTAGGTGCTTCCATACTCTGCTTCACTGGCTGGTTGCCTGGAGGTGATTTTTACTTGCCATAGGTAACTAGGAGAGTGACTCTTTACAAGCTATGCCGTTTTTACTGAATGCGCTACTTGTCAAATGGGCCCCTGTCAGAATAAGAGTACCCTTGAGGTTTTAACTTTCTAATCATCTATGGGATAGCAATCTCGAAGAGTCACTGTCAAATCAGTTCAGTGATCCAGACATAAAAAGTCCAGCTCTTGTTATATATCAAAATGAAGACATTGTAGGAAGATCTCTGCTCAGTCAGACCAAAGGTCCATATACCCCAGAATCACATTTCCCAAAATGGCCAACTATAAACCCAGTTTACGGCAACAACCCTTCCTTGCTGTTACTAGTAAATTTAATCCCTTATGATTTATACAATCATATTGCAAAAGGGAGTTATTACAACCCCCCCCCAAAAAAAAGCCTGTCTGTCACTGAACCACAGCAAGCATCAATGCCTGGCTTCCATCATATCTTGCTTTGCATGCAAATTGTCAGTAGAGTGTGCAATGCAATACATACAGGGGGAAAAAACCAAACCACAAGGGATTTGAGTGCAACTGCTGCGCTTGCTCATTTTTGCACATTGTCAATCTGTGTAAGCAGTGACATTTAATAGAAGTGACACAAATTGAGCTATTGCTGTTAACCTTCATGCCTTCTGGATACCTCACACTTCCTGAAGGCATCTACTTTCCCGCCATGGTAGGAGAAACAGCAGATGCCATGTCACCGTGCCTGTAAGCAATAGCTGAGGCGTTGTACAAGGAGAGGAGAAAAAAGCTATTGCCAGATGCCAGTCTCTTAAAACGGCACTTTTTGCAGAATGAAACCAATGAATAACTGCAATGATTATGGGAATTCCGATAAAGCAGCTTGGAAGCTGGAGGCAAGAAAAAATAATTATTCCCCACCAAAGCAGTCAGTTGTGATTGCCTTGACACGGAGGTGAATATAGGTTGCTTAAAATAGCAAACACAAATGATAACTTGGTTCATGTTATTGCGCTAGCACATCTGCAGTATCTTTCACATTCCTCAGGTACATCATTCAACAACAGCATCTAGGGAGAAGGAAGGTTTCTACAATCTGTGCAATCAGTAAAGCCCGATGAAGAATTATAGACTTGGTTTACTCTTATGCAGGCCAACAACTTATCTTGCTCATTTTAAATGGCAATGACTTCTCTTTTGCCTGATTAAAGCATTTGGTGGTTAAGTGTTACAGTCATATGTACAAGTGTGAAAACACACATTCAGAAACCTTTAAGCTATTTGTAGCAGTGTGATTAAATGCTCTTGAACCAAGGACCATTTTTTGCCCCGTTAAAAGTGCCTTTTACTTCAGAGGAAATTGCACCAATTTATTTGAGACTGACATGCCACACAAATAATAAAATCTGATAGCAAGTTATTGCCACTGTAGCAACAAGCCATGGTTTTATATGGCTATTACAATACCATACTGGTATTGTAAGCAGCCATGCTAGCAAGAATGTTTAGGACTGCAGTCTACAGTCTCGTGGGGAAGTCCAGTAATCCTCAGCACAGAAGACCACAATGAGTCTACAAGGCCCATTTCTATTCTTCTTTAACTACTGAAGTGTTCTCTAAGGCTGACAGCATAAAAGCTATGTGATGGCAGAAAGCTAGCACAAAATCTGTCTGGAAATCAACCCTGTTCTCACATAGCTGACATTACGAACTGCCTGTCCTCTAATTTAATGAGATGCTAACTTTTGTCAGCCAATAAAGGAATGCCAAGATTCTATTAACAAATTTGGATCAGATCCTCACTAGCTAAATTGGGTGTTAGCTCTCCCTGACTTCTCTTACAACAAAGCTGTAATACCTTTGGACAACCCTTGTAAACACTATTTTACCAGATACAGATGTGCACACATACCTACCCCTTCTGCAGCTTTGCTTACTAAAGAGTTAACTGATTCCAGTCTCTGTCTTTGCCCTTTGAACTGAATGACCATTTGGATTTCTATCTTGCCTGTCACAGCAGATAAGATCAAAGGCCTTTTGAAGAGATTATGCACACTACAGAAAGTGATTCTCACAGACATCATTACTATGGAAGCCCTGTGTGCAACTGCCCCAGCTTGTTGACCCTGATAGTTTACAGGAGGATGTAAGTGTAAAGCAATAAGAATCAAGCCATTCTGTGGCACACCTGAACTTTCCATTGCAATTCACCCTGTAACTCAGGAATACTGTCACACCCCCAAATTACATGGAACCACTGAATCCAATAAAGGTCCCTGACAATAAAAAAAGCTGGCAACATAAGACTGTGTTTGCTGTTTTCAACATGTGCAAAGCAGCAAGAGGAAAATAGCCACAACTAGATTATACTTTTCTCCTTTATATATGCAAGAAGGGGGCGGTGAGAATTATGATCGCAGTGATACATACAAGCCTTTGAGTATTCTGTGGCTCAACACATATACCATAGAAGAAGCATCAACAGAAGCTAGCAAATGCCCACCATAAAGAGTGAAGTGTGTATATTTCAAAGATCCTGGTATGCTGTGTGTGTGTTTATGGGGGGATAATAATTGTCCGTACATTAAGTACATCCCTGTAGAATTCCTGTCATTGTGGTTTTGGCTACCTCGTACCAAGAGCAGAGAACAGTTTTTTTCTCATTGCTTTCCTTTCTAATTATCTTGTATGAACACATCAGCATGATGGTATTGGGATTATTCTTCATGAGCCTGCTTTTATCCTATGCCTGTTTAAAGCATTTCAATCAGCATCAGACTAATGCTTCACACACCATCTGAACTTGTGCTGAAAGCCAGCAAAGGTGAATTTATGAACAGCTGAATCCCTTCTCAATGGTCGGCTGATGCTTTGATGGCAATTGTCACAGTGTTAGTAATAATAATTACTTTGCATTTGCCTTTCAAGCGTTCAAAGTGCTTCACATGCATTATCTCAGTAATTGCAGACATCTGAAGACTTGACAATGGAGTAGGGAGGTTGGCATTGCAACAACACAGTTCACTCTGCCCTAAACAGCAGAGGTTATCAAAGTCCAACCAATTCTAACAGAATGGTGACAAATGTCATTGTAATTGTCATTCTTAGACATTTAAAATCTGATTCCTTGCCTTGGGGGCATTTCCCACTGGGTTCATTTAACCCAAACTGATTAGGGCTGCAGTTTGAAAAACAAATATTTTATGAGAGTCATGATACTTAAAGTGGAGTTTGGATCCAAATAACGGACATTTTCTTCGCCCAAATTAACTTCTTCTAAGCTCCACTAGTTTCAACAGAAGTGTTAAGCTGGTGTTTAAATCTCTCCCATTGAAAACAACAGGATTAAAAATGCTTTATATTGTTCAGCTCAACAACTATGTCTGCTATTAGATTTTGCAAACCAAACCCTGGCCTCATTTGGCTGTTAACAAGTCCCCTGGATGACTTGCCATTTGCGTGTTCCTCCTGCATTTTTTAATTTCTAGCCAATTTTAACAGCAGAAGAACTGAGGAGAGGACAGCCAGGAATCTTAGGAAGCTGAGCTGGGGCATTTAATGGGCACTCAGACTGTTCCATGTAAAGACCACACTGTTAAGTTTCTCTAATCAATGTTATTGCTACAGGGCTTTCAAAAATGAAACAGGCTAGGAATTTATCCTGCCATCAAGTGCGAAGTGTTACAAATCACAGCTTGAAAATGGCTATAGTCAGGCCTGTAAAATGTTTATATACAGTTAATCTTATATCAGTGCTGAACCTCCAACTCAGCCATTCAGATAAGAAATGCAAAATGAAAATTAGCCAGTCAGGGTCATGCCCGTGTAGCTCTTCTCTGCAGACAGATTAGAACGCTGAGGAATACGCTATGCCAAGAATCAAATTATAATGTGTAAAGCTTGTCAGGCTTCCCTTAAGAATGCTATTTGCTCTGCAGTTTTTAAATCACACCACATTAACCTTCAAGCTCACATGACCTAAAGGGCTGTTGTAGAACAACAATGTATTTACAGGCTTAAGTGATGAAAATTCCTAAAAACAGAACCCTAAGAAAGACACAGCGAGGGAACAAGTGGACAACATCCCAGTCTTCTAATCAGTTAAATGCTCTTCAGACCAAAGATGTATAAAACGCCCCAAAACCCTGCTGATAAAATTTACTTTGTCTTACAAATATGTTGAATATTACATAGGTTTTTTTTTAAACCTGGGAAATGGTTGTATACCAAGAGCTAAGCAGTTATTTTTACATTCCATCTCTGAACTGGAGATACCTTGTAGATGAGGATGTTACTTAAGGTGCTGATGGTCAAAAAAGGAATAAGGGGGTTCATCTGGAATCACAAACAGGCCTCAAACACAGGTCAACTGCTTTGCTTGTTAAAAAGTCAATTTCTAATTTCTAAAGTATGCTAGTAAAAAAATAGCCCATCAACCGCCACTCAAGAGCACTCACGTTGCATTGGCTGGGGGCTGGATCCGCTCCTCTAGCCCACCCCCTGCTAGCTTGGCTACTCTTCCCTGTCAGAATAAACTGCCAAAATGGCTGTCTCTCCAGACAAAGACGCTTCTCCTGCTTGGTTCCTCCACAGCTGGCTGGCTACTGAGGTGGGGCTCAGTTTCTCCTCAGTGGCTGTTGCTAGGCAACCAAGCTTTGTTCTGTCAGTAAAAAGGCAAAGGCAGGAGGCCCTTTCCTGGCCTACTTTGGCCTTTGTGGGGAACTCATTGGGGGCAGTTCTGACTTGGATTGCCAGCTCCAGGTTGGGAAATTCCTGAAGATTTTGTGGTGGAGTCTACGGAAGCCAGAGTTTGGGGAGAGGAGAGGCCTCAGCTGAATAGAATGCCATAGTATCCACCCCCCAAAGCAGTTATTTTTTCCTGGGGAACCATTGCTGCCAATCTGCAGGTGAGGGTGGAGATTACTCAGAATTAAAACTGCTCTCCAGGTGGCAGATGGCAGAGATCAGTTCCGCTGAAAAAAATGGCTGCTTTGCAGTGTGGACTCTGTGTCATTATACCCTGCTGAGGTCGTTTCCCTCCTGCTCGGGTTCCTACTGCAGAGAAAGACTGTAGTTTTCCTAGGTATAGGCTGCAGGGAGGGGGGAGATGGAAAGCTGAGGTCAGAGGTGCAGATAAAGGTAGGTTGATGGTTGCCTGGGAAGGAGATAGGGTTGCCAATTCCAGGTTGGGAAATTCCTGGAGATTTGAGGGGTGGAGCCTGGAGAGGGTGGGGTTTGAGGGGTGGGACCTCAGACAGGTACAATGCCATAGACTCCACCCTTCAAACCAGACATTTCCTCCTGGGGAACCATTGTTGCCAATATCCAGGTGAGGGCTGGAGATCACTCAGAATTACAACTGCTCTTCAGAGGGCAAAGATCAGGTCCCCTGGAGAAAATGGTAAGCTCTGTGACATTATATCCTGCTTAGGTTGCCACAGCAAATTGATGCTGAGTGCCCAATGCTGGGGCACCCACCCAGAGCCTTTTTCTAGAGCTTGTTGTATTTATTTCCACAACAGGCCTTGTTCCTAGTCATCTATAAGTGCCAATATCAGGCTGCAGAGTTCATGGGATCTGAGGCTTGATAAAGGCACTTGGAGATGGTTCTGAAAGTGCTAGGTTTTTAGAAATGCATCAATTTTTAAGCCCAGAAATTTGCACCAGTGAAATGCTGGTGGGGGAAAATGGGTAAAAGGGAGGGAGGAAAGCAAAGTTTGGTCTGGTCCTTATCCACTCCTGGGGTTCTATTCCACTAAAGTACATGAATGTAGACAGAAGAGCTTCAAAATGAATTTGCAGGAGTGGAATGGGATTGAACTCTAAACGGAATGAACTGTAGGAAGCCACTCAGCCATAGTATAAAAGCAAAGTACCAGCAATTTGAAATATAAGATGATTAAAACATGCACTATTTGACTTACCCTGGCATCTGTGACCTTGAATTCTCTTAGGATGTATTGTGGCATGTTGTACTCTGCCATGGGATCCACTACAAAGTACTGATACCTTGCTGAGCGCTCTGCTGGCCAGTACTGGTGGCATTTTTCCTGGAGGAAGGAAAAATCTAATTTCTTATTTATTTCCATTCCATCCTATCTTCCATGGACTTGGGATCACAACACCCTCCTGCCAAAATATATGAGCCCTGGACTGTTGCATTCACACATAATACTTTACTAGCTGCACCAATATTGGTATCATGTCTTATGCCATTTCAATTTATTAGTCTGTATTATAAAATAACAGTGTTATGTGGTATAATACCATATACGATATGAGTAGTTGGCTGCAGCAATAGGTGTTCTCTGCAATGGTACAAGGCTAGCTCAACCTTTGCTCCAGGATTCACCCCGGCCTTCGGTGCTGGGGAAGCAGAAGTCTTCAGCTGGGAAAAAGCCCATAAGCCCCACTGCCCCCACCACAAGAGCCATCAGAGTATTCCTATTCTCTGGAAGGTCAGTGAAATTTTAGCAGCAACTGAGACCCAGCTGGGCAGCTTTGCCTTGTTTGTTAAGTGTTGTATTAGCTGCAATAAGATGGCCGCCACGGCAGTAGTCGGGCCATGCAGTCCGACAAACCTTCAGACCTTCGATCCCAAGACAGTAGCCACTTCAGATCCTAGGGCGCACCAATGGGTTTGCCCGGATCTGAGAGTAGACCTATTAAGATGTTGACTTGTAAATAGAGCCAATAACAGGTGATGGGTGTGTGTGTGTGTGTGGTGTGGGGCACACATATAAACTGGACACTGCCCAGCCAAGGTATCTTTTTGTTCCTCATGTAATCCAATAAACAAGAGCTGATTCACTATGCTGGGCCTCCGATCTCAGTACTTTTCATTAAGCAACCTTTGCAGCAGCAGTTTATGATAAAAGATATGACCAGACTGCCAGTCATAGTTACTATAGGTACCACAAACTAGAAGGATGGTATCTTTTTATATGGAACAAACCTTTAAATAATCTTTCCTTTCCTTTCTCCAAGTTTTTTTTTTAAATCCACTTTCTTATTCACTCAATAACTTAGTACAAGCTTTACTGTATGTCAGCTTTAGAAATGGTTTAAAACATTTTACTGTCCTCCAAAAACTGTCTCACAGCTAATTGAATGAATGTGTTTGACACCTCTGCCCCCACAGCTTTCTGATTCTTGTACCCACACCCCTTTCCCTTTCTGTCTTGCATCTACCTTCAGCCTCTACTCTCCCTCACACATGCCCAGTAACTTGAACGGCATCTGACCGTGTCTCCTTCCCCACTCCTCCATTCATTTTTCACCCCCATCTTTTTATGTTTGTTTTCCCTTGGCTTATCTCTTCTGACAGGTCCAGGACCTTATTGCTTCCTAACTGTATTGATCAACAATCCTTTCACCTGCTTCCCACGTCTCTCTCTTTCTCTCTCTTGTGATATTTTGTACCCTGCATATGCTTTACATGTGAGATACTGTAACCCAAAGAAGGAATATCCCTGACAGTCACAAAGGCAGCAATGTAATACCCATTTGGGTCAGACTTTCATCCCTTTTCAGCAATCTTGAGGGCTAAAAACACCATGCTTTTGAAAATGCAGAGATTCTCATGATTCCAACACACATTTCAGTTGCTTGGGTGAGACTATTAATTGCTTTGGGAGAAAAAGGACATGGTGTGGTTGGTTCGTTGTTGTTTTTTTTGTGTGAAAAAACCAGTTAAAACCTTTGTTAGTGCATAACTCTGCTGTTATTGCAAACTGGTTCATTCCACTGGAAACATTCTGAGGAAGCTTAATAAAGTTTAAGGCTGCAAACACCCTGCCAGAACTGCTACGTCTAGCAGAATAAGTACTGATGCAATCTGGAGAAATAAAAAAGACATGATTTAAACTTTTAGCGGGTCGTGTGATAGTTTAAATTTTATTATCCTGCTATATTAAGAGCATAATACTATGTTTTCTTTAGAATTGTAAACACTAAAGAACAAGTAGGGCTTTTCAAACAACAGTGTTACACCTAGTCAGGTGGCTTACAGTCCTATACTACGTTACGTTCATTCAGAAATAAACCCCACTGTATTCCATGTGGTTTGCTCCCAATAAGCATCCACAGGATAGGTTCCTTAGCATGTTTACTTTATTCTTATGGTGGGTGAAAGCACCACATTTCGTTTTTGTTATTCTAAGCACTTAGAATCAAATTTAGGCTAAAGACCTCAAAGATGGCTAATAGTATGAAAAACATGAAGATCTGTTTGGGAAGCATGTTTTTAATATAAATCTTTAGTTCATCTAGGTATATATACAATTTTATTTTATTTTTAATTTTTAAAATTATTTTCTCAGAAAAAATATGGGATATGGTATGTATAAAATTTTAGAAAGCCAGTTTGGTGTAGTGGTTAAGAACATGGACTCTAATCTAGGAGAACCAGGCTTGATTCCTCACTCCTGCACATGCAGCTGCTGGTGTGACCTTGGGTCAGTAACAAGTTCTCTCAGAGCTGTTCTGTTAAGAGTGGTCCTCAAAAGAGCTCTCTCAGCCTCACCTACGTCACAGGGTGTCTACTGTGGGGAGGGGAAGGGAAAGGAGATTGTAAGCCACTCTGAGACTCCGAACGAAAGGCAGGGTATAAATCCAATCTCTTCTTCTTTTTGTGTACTTGGTACAGAATCCTTACATTTGCAGTACTAAGATGGTTTGCATTCTAGAACGGCTATCTCACACTTATGATGAGACTTCCCTTTGCAAGACTGCATAACCAGCTTGCCACGTCTTAAAAGTGTGTTGAGTTGTCCTCTCCCTTGTCACCCTTGATTTGTTTATTCTGCTTCCAGCCAAAGTCCTCTGAAGGAGTTAAGATGCTGTGCCATGGTGCTCGTGACCCAAATTCCAGCCTAGCAGATAGCCTACTAAGCAGGTGACAAACTGTCCAGAGTGTTGATTCTTCTGACAGAAGAGATCCATTCTTGCCTCATTCAGCTGAGACATTTTGTCATACATGATTACAGTCTGTCTTTCTGGCTTCTGAAAGTGATGGAAATATTAAGTATAGGTGTTCAAAGTGGTGACAGGTCAGCAGCACAAACGTCTCTGTAATATCTTTACAGATTGACCTTTACCCTTTTTCATTAACCAGGATCTTGTGAAGCAGAAAATATATAGCATACTGGCAAGGCTCTTCTTGATCTTAGTTCTTCCAGACTGGCACATATGCTTATGACGTTGTAAAAGCAGAGATTCCAAAATGGCCATCCAGATGTCATTACAAAGACCATCCAGGTGGGATTGATAATGATGGTATTGCTAAAAGAATAACAACAACATCTGTGGCAATGTTGTGTGTCTGAACAATTTAACTTTCATGACCCAAAACATGATGTACATGTGCCCCAATCCTGGTATCAGCTCCCTCATAACTGTTTTTAGATACTGGGACCGCAAAACCCATCCAGACTTCTCTTCTGTGATGTATATCACTTTTCCTGAATTACATATGACAGCTACTGCCTTGGAAATTCTGCTTATTTAATGAGTCAAGAAAGAAATCCATCCATCCAATCATTATTTTTGTTTGATTTGATGCTTTCCTGCACTATCCTCTGCTCCTTTCCTTTTAAATTGAACCTTTTCAATTTTCTGGAATATAAATATTCCAAGCGATGTCCAGTCTCTTGGCATGCTGTAATTTGTTGTACAAAATTCATTGTACAAAAACCTGATCAGCAGTTTAGTCATGAAGTATGCAGGTGTGGACAGTGGGAATAAACAAGGACAGCACCATCTAGTACTCACGGAATCATTTTGTCTATGACTGGGGCTCTAATAAAGAGTTCTCTTTGATAGTATCATGGATACTTTGTGTAAGTTTTAAATGATATTTTTCTGGAACTCCTGGTACTTTTTTTTTTTGTTATAGCTGTCTAATTCAGAAAGTAAATCAATTAATTCATCATCAGAGCTCCATCTGTTATATACTAGTAAGTATAGCCAGGAATGGCTATCCCAATATAATATGAGATACGTTTTTGACTTGCCTCTTAACAATGCATTTGCAGTGAATATCATTGCTCACGAGTTAGAAAGTTATGTGTGCATGTAGGGAGGAATGTTCTGCAGGTCATCATCAGGAAAATTTTGCCTTCAAACTGTTTCAACTGGTTATCTCTGCACCACAGACCACTGAATGTGGGAAAATAGTTGTTTATTTGGTTTTTTAATAACACCAACTAGACCATCAAGTCCTAAAAAGATTAAGCTTGGCCTTCTGGGATTTGGCAGGTACTTGTGATCTAAGGACTTGTCGATGCTAATAATCAGACACCTTGTTGATTGGAGAGGATGATTTCATATGTGTTTGTCAGCCACCTTGGCACATAATCCAAAACAAAGAACAGAGACATCAGATGCTTTAATACCAAGCATATAAACAGGAAGCCTTTCTCTGTGTGTGCTCCAATGAAGATCAGAATGAGAATTTCCTTGTGTACAGCAAGATTTCAAAAGCACTGAAGTGGGACTTGTTTGCTGCATATGATTCAGCCAGGATTCTATGATGGATTCTTTCATTCATCATATTTTTCCTGTTTCCCCCAAAATAAATATTCAAGGCAGCAAACCAATACAAATAATAAACAGACATTGGCAAACTATAGTAAGGCACCTTGCTTTCTCTCTTTTCCTCTCCTGAAGAATGGCTGGCTCTTGATGAAGTCCATATGGAGGGTCAGGTGACAGTTGGCAGGACAGGTTGATATAAACAGCCATGTTTCCTCCTTCTGGAGATACTGATGGAGTCTTAGAGGGAGGGCCAGGCTGATGTCATGGAAATTATTCTGCTGGAGGTTGTGAAAGCTCGGAATAATGCTTTTGTGAAAACATCTAGACCTTGTTTGGTGAGCGGCCTTTGGGAAAAGGTCTACAATTCCAAATACAGAATGCACTCAAAGCTAGAGAATCTTCCACAGGAGTGTGATGCTAAAAATATTTTGGCCTGAATATTTAAAGATGTACTGGATTAAAGATTTTTTATCAGTCTCAACTATCTTGTAGTTAAACATCATGCTGGGATGCTAGAAAAAAAAGTAAGGCCCCTAAGCCTAAATCAGAATGTCAGAACATGAAAGGCTCACACTATAGTGCTTTTATCAGTTTGGTAATGGAAATTATACTAAGGCACCTAACTACAGTAGCCTGTGATTATTTTGAATAACTTTTGCTAAACTGAAAACAGAATTCAGAATTGAGCTTATGTCACAATAATTAATCCAATCTCTGGCTAGCTCATCTATTATTAACCACCTGAGGAGCAGTGCCATCAGCCATACACTAAGGGAGTGCCTTTTAGAATTAGAACTTTGGCACCCACTATTCAATTATATATAAGGAGAGATTGTTCTTTATTATTATTAACAATAAGCATTATTATTGTTCTGTCTCAGTGGTTTTTCAGACTTTCTGCACCTTGAAGAGCCCTTCCAATATACACAACTGCCATGAAAGCTCAGCATGTTGTACCAGATTCTGGGGTGTGTTTTATCTTGCACACTCAGAGTCACGCCAGGTCTGAACAGGCCTATTGTGCCTCGATGTTGTGAATCTCACAAACAGCAAATGAACTGGTAAATGAACTGGGTGTACTGCTTCAGATTTCATGAACAAATGCTCTTCCATACAGCTTTCCATATATACAGGGGGGGGGGTAGTTGTATCGTGTCTTTTAAAAGTGAATTTCTAAATTACCTAGATCTATGGAAGATGTCAGTGGTATTAATATTTTAATAGACAAATAAGATGGTAGAAAACAGAACTGTAAGTTTAGCCTTTTTCCTGACATGCTCCTTTTCTAGGTCTTTTTGTGGCATAATAAATAAATAAATAAAAGGAATGTACTGAAGAATACTCTCCTGTGGCTATATATCACAGAGGGAAGATTTGTAAAGATGAAAAACTCTCTTTCAAGAGCTGTAACCAAAATTATCAATATTCCTCTTGAGGAACATCGGGCAAGTTTTGTTTTGTTTTTTAAAAAACAACCTTCAGGGTTATTTGGAATACAGTCCAAAAACCACTGCCCAACACAGTCATTTGGTCAGCTTACACACATCATGGCAGCAAAAGTATTTTATTTTTGTTAAGGGACCATAGGTAATTGCAGATCCCTGGAACACGTATCTCTCGATGTATTCGTTTAATCGATGCAATTTTTTGTGCACATAGATAAGTAGCTGAGTACTAACTTCCCTTTTTACTCTACCTGAAGATTTAAATGTCAACTGAAAATCCAGATATTGCCCGTACCTACAGAAATGGGTCCAATAAAATCAACAGCCTTACTTTTCTTTGAATTTCTTACTCAGCAGGACTACAGCTTTCTACAGCAAATGCATTTTTGACATTTACTTTTTGAAACAGGCCTTGTACTTACTCTGCCCATTTCTCGTAGCTTAGTAAGCATGACTACGATGGTTGAATTGTGTTCCCAAAGCATCCTCCAGAAATCTTCTGTTGTTTCTGCCAAAGGTCCCTGTGTAGCTATATAGGCTTTTTGTTGCCTATTTTTAAAGTAAGAGGACAGACATTTACCAATCAAAGAATGACCAAGGCTTTCTTTTTGCATGTGAACATTCTGCCGTGACATCATTCTAAGAAATGTATAGTTGTAAATTATTTATTGTAAGCCCATTAAAAACATATTAAATATTGTTTAATCAAACCATAGCATTGTTTTATTTTTAGAAATTTGTGGAGAAAATGCCCCATTAAAATGTGATTTATGGCTTTATCTTATTTAAATTTTAATGCAACTCTAATAGCTCAATTTTGTGTGTCGTAGGGAACACTTAGGAAACACTTAGGAGTGCAGCTCCATTTTGCATCCAAGGCTGACTGTCATACAGTCTACTGAGTGTATGACTTATAGCTCCAAAGTACTTCTTTATTAACTCTTTCAGTAGCATAATGTCAGCAAAAGTGAGGAGATTTGTAGAGTCATAACTCAAAAGGTAGGAATGGGGTGGTTTGGTTCATTTTCTGAAGTCTGCTGAGAAAAATGGCCATACTTTTTCTTCTACAAGCAGTGACTGTCAAATCTGTTAGCTGTATATGAAGCCCATGCCACACATTCAATATATGTAAGCAGCCACTGTTGGTAATTGTGGTACATTGACAGGAAATCTGCTTGCTACTGCACTACCAGAACTCTAGAACTAAAGCAATTTGTGACTTTTTGTAGGATAATCAAGCTATTATACTGTAACTTCCCATTGTCAGAAGGAGATGTGATGGTGATCCATATAAGTGCAGCTTCAGGGGAAAACTCTTTTTGGACATGTTTTTATCAGCACAGATGCTCCCATAGCATCTGCTCCTCCCATGTCTATCCAGTAATGCTGGAAGAACCAGGCTAGGATCCCTGGAAACTGGATACAGCAAGGACCTATGGTTTGGACTCCTTTCATGTCTCCGTGGATGTCCAATAATTGCAGTCTATGAACTCTAAGCACAATGGCAACCACAATGTTGAAATGGCCCTAAGCACATGCCTCTCATAAGAAATATAAAGTGCAGTGTGCATATTGGCTCATAAATACTTAACATTAGTTTATAAAGCACAAACAATTGGATACCTGTATCCATCGATAAAACTGGCATTGATATAATCGGAACCTTCTACCCCTCGGATAGGCTGCAAGCATATCCTTGTGGATTCATATGGCATAATATTAACAAGGCGATTTTTAAATTTATTACATGGAAGATTGGCACTGATGAATCTTGACGTGTGAGCTTTAGAGCTGGCTAGCCGCTGCAGAAAACAAAGAAAAGATATTTAGGGAAATATGAAAACATCATTTTATGAACTGATTTGACTAAATCTTCTTATAAAGATGACTACCTGTCACTTGCAATTATTAGCTGCATGCTAAAATATATGTTTAGAATGTGTCTCTTATTGCAATGTTAAACTGTTCCAATTGTAAATTATAAAGAAATTTTAAGTACAAAATACATCATGTGTTAGAACAGCTATTATTTAGAACCTAGATTTGTGTCCAGTAGCACCTTAAAAGACCAATGATCCGTTAAGGGTCTGAACTTTTGAGAGTTAAAGCTCCCTTCATCGGGTATGATGAGCTCCGTCTCTTGAAAGCTCATATCCGGAAAATCTTTTTGGTCTCTAAGGTTCTACTGGACTCAAATTTAGCTGTTTTGTTTTACTGCAGACCAACATGGCTGCCCTCTGAAACTATTTAGAACCTTACTGATCTTCTGCAGGGAAATCTACAAAAGCACAGGCCATTCTAGTTCAGCTACACAACAATTTAAAATCCACCCCCCCCCATTTCCTACATAGTAATGAAACGATGAAGGATTTATAACCAGGCTGTAAGGAACACCCCCATACGAGTTACCTTAAATTCCAGTTCCATTCCTGTAACATTCTCTCCTGCTTCTATCTGTGTCAGCTTCTGAATATATGCATACAGGTTTCGGGCTGGCACTTCGGTATTTCCACATGTCACTGCTTCAAGCAGTGCATCATGGATGAAGATGTATTGGTCCTCTGTTTGAACCATGTAATTCCTCTGGGCTCGCATTAGAGTTACGTGGCCATAAATATCTACAGTCTTTTCATGCTTTATTCTCTCTAGCATGGCATCTATTACAATGAAACAGCCGGTCCTGCCAACTCCAGCACTAAAACAATAAAAAAGACCAACACAAGTTAGGTATAAGGGGTGGGAACGTTTTAGATCAGCAAGTTATTTCTTTAACATACATACAGCCACGACATTTAATGTGAACAAACTTTGTAGCAATTCACAGTTATCCTGCTCTCTTAAACACTCTGGTCATTTTTATGGGGCTGTTTTGCATGCAGAACTACAACGTAACGGTCTCCTCATATTGTTCCTGCTGTGTGAGATTATTAGGTGGGAAACACCCATGCAACTGGGCTCAGGCACAGTTGTTACTTTGGTGGTATAAGGTCAGTGTATTTATTTATTTTATTATTATACTAGGTCTGGAGATTAAGTTCTTGCTCAACGGTTAGACCTACATTTTTCCAGAATCACTGAGTTCTCCTTAGTCACCTTTCCCTCTTGAGTTCATTATGGAATATATGACTTAAGCGGAAGAGCCAGAATTCTTAAAGGATACAGAAGTCTCTTTCATCTGGAAGAACAGAGCACGCAGCATGGAGATAACGAGTGAACTGTACTGTGCTTCCTTCCCCCATCACTTTTACACAATCAGCCCAAACCATGACATGAGCAACACAGCCGATAGCCATCTCCCCATTATCTAAGCTTTCACTGCCTTCCAAGCACTAAGGAGTGTATGAAGTCTGTGAAAGGAACAAACTCAGCCCAATGCAGTCTGTTGCCTTTCAAGCCTGAAAATCCAGGAGTAGAGGAAAAAAAAAAATCTATGGTTGCTATCCTAAAAAAGAAAAAACCTGACCTGATCTTCAGTACCCATCAGCATTGCATTATGTACATGTGCAGTTATATGACACTAAAGTAAACTACAATAATTTACTTCTGATTTGGATTATTAATCTTATCCTATTTATGAAGGAATAAAACAAAGTTATTTATAACAAATAAGCACACACACGCAGACACACACGCGCGTGCACACACACACACACTTCTCTCAACTCTGTCTGTCAGATTTGCAGTCTATGAACCCTAAACACCTTGTAGTACAGGTAGATAATGTCAGAAAGGTGAGCTGGGTGAGGTGAAATCAGGCTGCCCACCGTTCTACCAGCAGTGTTTTTGCTGGCACAAGAGGCTCTGCTATCAGAGGGAGCTGACTACCCTTCCTTGTGGCAGCCTCTTCATGCCATTTTACTCTGTGCATGGGGGGGGGGGGTGCTCTTCTACCTGCAACAGTGCCTTTTAGGCACACAGGGGCCCCACTGTGGGAAGGGGAAGATTCATTTAGGCGAGCATTTTGTGTTCATGATAAATAGGATTAAATAGGATAAAGGGCAACTAGAATGATAAAAGGGTTGGAACACTTTCCCTATGAAGAAAGGTTAAAACACTTGGGGCTCTTTAGCTTGGCGAAACGACGACTGAGGGGTGACATGATCGAGGTTCATAAGATTATGCATGGGATAGAGCAGGTTGAGAGAAAAGTACTTTTCTCCCTTTCTCACAATGCAAGAACTCGTGGGCACTCAATGAAGTTACTGAGCGGTCAGGTTAGAACAGATAAAAGGAAGTCTTCTTCGCCCAAAGAGTGATTAACACGTAGAATTCACTGCCACAGGAGGTGGTGGTGGCTACAAGCATGGATGGCTTCAAGAGGGAATTGGATAAACATATGGAGCAGAGGTCCATCAGTGGCTATTAGCCACAAGATATAGATAGGAACTCTCAGTCTGGGACAAGTGATGCACTGTATTCTTGGTGCTTGGGGGG